GCTTTTACAATGAGACCAGAGTTACTATGACTGCAAAAGCACAATTCTGAAAAAAGCAGAACAAAACAAAACAACACAAACCTCTTCTAATGCTAAGTATCCACAAGAGTACACAATCTCCACACCAGTCCTTAGCAAAGCACAGTTCCACAGGCTACTTGCTGTGAGTTTGCCAAGGAACACTACAGGTGATTCTGTATTTCCTCACACCCTCTAGAGTCAAACGATAGACTTGCTCAGTTCTAAACACAGACATTTGCTATTAAAATAAATTTGAAGAAAACTGAAGTTGACTAAGATTTTAACCAGTCACAGGTCTAATTTCACTCCCCAACTCAGGCAATGGAAGCACAGGCTAAGTTACACTTCATTTAATTAGATACTAGTCAGTACTAAATTATTATTAGGCAGTTTAAGATAATTAGTATTCATTATTTAGTTCTACTGATAATGTAGCCGCTCTATGGTCCTATCAGTATGGAACCATATACAATTGGGTGGGCCACTCAACTCTTCAAAGAACAGTCCCTATCCCCCAGGGACTAATTCATTTATATCCTTTACCCAGAAACTTCAAGCTCACAGAAGAAGAAATTCAGTCCATCATTTGCATAACTTCTAAGGATAATCCAACTAACTCTAAATTTCAAATTCATATTATTTCTAAATACTTTTGACCACTCACTAGGTATTTAAGCTGGTCCTCTAAAATCTAGAAAATTCAGTAAATATTTGTTAAATGCCTACTAGATCCAAGGCATACAAAATTAAGACTCTTTTCAAGATGGTTACTCACTCTAATTAGGAAGATGGCAGGAAGATACATAAACCTAACAGAAGATCAGTATAATACATAAATGACTATTCTGGCTTGTGTCTAGATGTCCTTCTAGAGCCTCATAAACTCATAGGTGGGCCTTGTAGAGATGGTTGGGTCTAAGGCAGGTTAATATAGATTAAAGTTGTATGATAACTAAATTAATCTGCTTATTGGTTAGCATAGCTCTGGATGTAACAAGTAGCTACACCCTTGATACAGGTGGGACCAACCAATAGTCTGGGTGGAATAGATGGGGGAAAGAAACTTGCTACTCACCCATTTTTCTGCTTTCTGCCTGCCCTGTCATGGGCTGTTTCTCCTCTGCCACTCGCCCTCCCTTGCAGCCAACCAACTATGGACTGAACCTCTACACACTGTGAGTTGGAGTAAACATTTCCCCCTTTAACTTGTAGGTACTTGGCATTTTTGTCCCAGTGGCAAGAATAACTAAGGCAATGATGTACTACAGTAATTCTAGGAATAGGAGCAAACCTTCAGGCTGAAATGCTCAGGGAGACCTTCTGTAAGAAGTATATTGTAGATTAAAAGTAGGATAACCTTAGAAAATATCTATTCCCATCACCATCTCACAGAAAGAAGGGAGGGAGGGAGGGAAGGACGGAGGAAAGGGAGAGAGGGAGGGAGAGGCCTTAAAGGAAGTAATCAGTTTACGCAAAACCATGTAGACACACAGTTAAATCTTCAGACTCTTAGCTTAATTGATTTCCTTGACAACACATTACCACTCTGAGGTTGAAAACATCTGAATAGGCAAGATGGGGAAAGAAGATAACATGGTGACAAAGACCAGAAGCTAGAACATAAGACTGCTTAAAGTTCATTTGAGAAACATACTGTTTAATTTGTCAAAGAACAAGACTTTGAGGGGAATAATAAGACACCAGGCTGAACGCAGAATGGAATCAGACAATAGGGGATATTAAATGACAGTCTAGGAGAATAGGATATTCTCACCTGACAATTTAATGGACACAGGTGGCAGAAATTACATAATCTAAAAGTTCCTTTCAACTTTAGCACTACAGTGTGACACGGACAGTCTTAGAGGTCTACAGTGAAAATCCTTGTAATCTGAGAAAAGCCAGCTAAGCAAACTTGTACTGTTACTCTCTTCCTTTTCCAATTCTTCTTTCTTCAAAAAGAAGAGTTGCAGAACAGAGGTAAAATGTGGCAAGACGTTGCGATCTGCTAACACAGATGGAGTCTGCAACAGGACAAGACACGTGATTCTTCTGTCCCCTGCTTGCTCCTTCTGAGGGTCTTTGGCTTGCAGAGTCCTGCACCAGCCCTAAACAGAGGTGACATTCATGGGGTTGCCATCCGCACCAATCGCTAGAGTACAACTATGTGTATACACAACTCTAGTGCTCTTCCCTTAGCCCCTTACTCTGTCCTTTGCTCCAGTGTTTTGTACACTTCTTTGGGACCGGAAACAGAAGAGATAGCATGCAGTATTTCACATCAAAATTTGTATGGCTTGCAAAATAATTTCAAAACACTTTTACAGTAGTATTAGAAAGAGATACAAACCTCTGTTCAACTTCAGCCCTTATCCTACATAGCTCTTTATCTTCCAGAGGTTAGATTATGCTTCCCTCATCTCTCGGGTTACTATTATATAGGTTCTAACTTCAACACTTAACCTAAATGACAGTTCTGAAATCCTGGCTCTACGTATCAGTTCGACTGTAAAATATGCCTTTGCTGAGAAACTGCCACTGTGTCCCACTCAACACACCTCAAACACCAGCAGGATGTTTCAAAGCCACCTGGAGCTTATGCTGTGACCTCCGAGGACCTTCCTTTGCCAGCTTACTCTTCACAAAACTGTTGCTTAAGACCCTGCTCGGTATGTCCCTGGTTATCTTGTTGGCATTTGGCTTACTGCTGCCGAAATGTCATAGCCTTTGAGTGCACAGCCATCAAGTCATGGTAAAACTTCTGGAAAGGATATGCTGAGTACATTGCAATTTAATGGATAAATAGTCTGTGAAGTTCTTTGGGCTCTATTAACCTTAAAAACACACGGAGTTATTGTTTTCTGGATGAGAATTTGACCTCCCTTGTTTCACTATCGGGGCCAAATACTGTCAACTGGCCTTTATCCTCCTCCTTGGCTACACCAAAAACTACTACATAAAGAAAACAAGGTAGAATTTTTCAAACACTGAAAAGACTTCCTGAGTAATTTATTGTTTCACTTTTGATTCTTGTTTAGAAAATTTGAAAAAAATAATGTTAAAGTACTTTTCAAGTGTTATAGCAATATATGGGTTTTTTATTTAGCTATATGAAATGTTCTCCATTCATTATCTCAGGTCATCCTTATATTAGTCCAGTAGAAAACAAACTATTTTTACTCCCAGGCTGGACATCAGGAAATTGAGCCTTTATAAGATAAACACTTTGCCCAAATCATGGAGTCATAAGGGGGAGAGTATTGGACCTTTAGCCATCTAACTTTTAACTTCCCCTCAACTGGCCCATTGTTATTTTTCAAAAATACTTTAAAATTATAAATTTGAGGGAGTAACCATATTAAAATATGAATTGTTTTCATAAGTACCAACAAACAAACAAACAAACAAACTAAAGAAAAAGAAAACTAGAGGCCAAATTTCTTTTCAAAGTTTACTACCCTAACAGTCAGGGGCAGGGGATGTGGATAATGATGGGCACTACTCCATGCAGAAGAAACAGCACGCACCAAGGACCAGAGCAGAGATAAGAAAATGAAGGAAGGTCAATTGGCTCAATTCACCACAAAGTAAGATCACGGAAGGGCTGCAGCTTGGCACGGGAGCAATGGACAGACCTACACTTTGCAGGACTGCATCTCATACAGAAGATTTAGACGATCTCTAAAGGCAATGGTGAGACAATTTAAGATAAACACAGAGACGTGATAATATTTTAGTCATGCAAATGTCACTGGCTTCCAGTTGGTGAACAGCTCGGAGTAGGCACAGGGCAGTGCAGCTACACTAGGAAACTACTGCTATAATCCAGGTGATAGGTGATGGTGAGCAGGGATACAGTGGTGGCCAAGGGCAAAAAGCATAGACACTTGTGAAACAGAATGGGCAGGATGATGGGAAACTCGGCAGGGGCTGATTTAAGCCTTAAGGTAATTCTATGGTTTAGAAGGAAGCTGACTCTCACTTTTTTTTTTTTGGTACTGGGGATCGAACTCATGATGTTGCACTTGCCAGGCAGGTGTTTATACTGCTGAGCTAAGTTCCCAGCCCATTGAGTCTTGTGGAAGACACCACCAGTGACTCCCCTTAAATTTAAAACAATTATTGCAACTTTGATTATTTGGAGACTTATTTTTTTATACTGATATATAGAGAACTGGCTATGGAATTTTTTTTCTTTAATCGGCTCTAAGCATTGCAAATAAGGCTAGTTGAGGTGCTGGTATGTAATCTCTAAAGCCAACAGACAGTCCTGTTTCCTCCATACAGGATATGTACAGGATATGAACACAGCGGGATGTTAGAGCCAGTAGCTCCAGGAATGTTAACTGGGTAAGAGCCTCAAGGTAAAGAGGCTATGACTCCCCAGGGCACAAGAGTTTGCATATCAGAAACTGAAGCAACAGCCTTCCAAAGCAATTCAGTTGCTACCTTAATTAGATTATGTGAACTGATCCCTCTGCATATCTTTCTCTCTGCAATTTTCTGAGGTGCCTTTGTCTCACCTGGCCAGCCAGCTCAAGTTACTCACATAATTCCCACCATCCTCACTGTCACTCATCCCTGAGCCACCCCACTTCTTCACAAGATAATAAATTCTGGGAGAGGCCTTAGGATCAGGGCCTTTGTCCTCACATCCTCAAGGGGATTGCACTTAGGACTTGCACTTGGCTGCCCTTAACTTCTTATGTCTTGGTGTCTTTACTCTCGCTGTGGTTGCATTGGTGGTGGTAGATTGGAATGAACTTGCTGGGATTCCAGTGATGTCTCAATGGGATTACAAATACAACCTTTTGGATTGTGAGGAAAACTAAAAAGATTACACTATTTAAGTGACTGAACTCGATATTTGGGAATGTTTTAATAGGGGGAAAAGGAATTATTTAAAAAGAAAAAACTTACTGCTTCTCAACTCTCACTGTCACGTTTTCAATAGTGCCTTGGTTCCAGCCATAACTTACCTGGTTGCCAACCAATAACAAATGTTCTCCAAGGAGAAAGTCTTTCAGCATGTCTTCCATTACTATCATGTGCTAAGGGAAAAAGAACCAGAAATGAACTGTCTTTTGTACAATAAAGGTGAAATAAGAAAGTCAATTAGTCAAGCACAGTGGTGTACAGCTCTCATCACAATACTCTGGGAGGCTGAGGCAGGTGGATCACAAATTTAAGCCCAAGTGTCATACATATATGTAGGGCTGGTCATGTAGCTCATTGTGAAGGCCCTCGATTAAATTTCAGGTAACACACACACATGCATGTACACACATATGCACAAACATAGCCTGTAAGCCCAGCACTCTGGGCAAGGCTGCGTCTAACCTGGGCAACTCAGGTTCTTAATAATACCAGTCTCAAAAGTAAATAAAAAGTACTGCAGATGCTGCTAGTGCAAAAGGCCCTGAGTTCGATCCCCAGCATCATGAGAAAAGAAGAAGTTAACAATCCAGATAGAGTCTTAGACATATATTCTGATAGAATACTCAAGTGACTCGATTTTTTTAAAATAAAAAATTAATGATACAACCACAATTAGGCCACTGAAACTGAAAACGTAAAATAGACTATCTAAGCAAGACCAAGCTACTAACTAGTATTTCAATGAGTTTTTATAATTTGTTTCAAATATCTTTACTTAAAGTATATGTACCTGGGCTGTAGTCTAATATCTTTAAATTGACATTTGTTAATATAAATATACAAAGGCTTCCAAAAGTAGCTGGACATTTCTTAGGGATGTTTTACACTGAACTGTTCTTAGTCATTATCTTCACACTAGGATACCTTTAGAATTAAAAAAATGTATTATTTACCTTCCCAGTTTTTTATTTGAGTTATGACACAATGTAATTAAAGGAGGAGATAAAGGTTCACAATAAGCCACAGAGGAAATTACACTGCTCTTTTATATCGTGAAAAATAGGACACCTATAAATAGGTAACAAAGGCTCATCGGGGGTTAGGGAAAAACTGCATCTCAGCACAATTAATATCCCTCTTACTTTCAAATATCAAATAAGTAACAGCCTCATGAAGTTATTGAAGTTCTCTATTTTTAAAAAAGGCAAATTAACCCTTCTCAACTGATAGATACTCTTTTATGTGACTTGTTCTTCTTTTTAATTTGGGTTGTTTTGTTTTTTTGGATAGCCACAAAATTTTCCTTTTGTTTCAAATGTAATGGTATTGTGTTTACCTCTCCTCTCAAAACTAAGGGTTTCTGTCAGTCGTTCAAGACAAATGGGTACCTCCTGATGTTTATATATTAGTTTTTTTAAAAATTAGATACACTAGGGAGCTAGAGTTTTAATGAAGCTAGAAATAAAGTAGACCTATTCACTTACTGTCATTCTAGAACATTTTCAATAACAAAGCAACATTATTAATAATTGTTGTGACCACAAATGCAAGCAGAGATTATCCTAAAAGTAAACTGATATGCATGGTCTTATTGTTAAACTTAATATGTCAACTTGATTGGATTAAGAAATTTCTAGAAGATTAGCAAAGCACACTTCTGGATATGTGCAGGTGTCATGGAGGGGTGAGCACGGGGACTATATCTGGTGCCCGGTGTACTCTTCTCCTGCTTTTCTTCCTGTATGAAATGAACTAAGCACCTCTGCTCTCCCAAGCTCTTGCATCATGATACTTTTGATACTTCATGACACTTCAGTTTAATTTAGCTGAAAGCCCCTTCTCCTTTAATGAGGACGTTCATTTTGTGTCCCCCTTCCCAGTGACCAGAAAGCTCACTAATACCCATGGTTACTCTATAAGAGGAAATTCTAGAAAATATCTTTAAATTGGGTTTTGGACGTAATACAGTCTAGAGACATCTTCCTTTTGAGTAAAATGAAAAATCAGTGCCAGTTTCCAGATAACACTAAATTTCTCCTGGGAAAAAAAAAAGGCTTATCTACTTGAGAAATGGAGGGAAATGTTGGAATAAGTGTGTATGGCTTGTGTCCAGATATCCCCCAAAGCTTCATGCAGTCATAGGTGTGGCTTCTTCAGAGGTGGCTGGATCTAGAGTGTGTGACATTTGGGATTAAGGTTACACAATTACTAAATCAATCCACTTTAACCTCAGTAGTCTAGAAAAAATATAAAAAGGGCAGAAAGAAGCAGTTAAGCTCTCTTGCTTGCTGTGCTGCTTTCTGTTTGCCATGAACTGTTTCTCCTCTGCCAGGCCACCCTGCCTACGAGCCAGCCAATGTGGATTAAAACCTCTACAAAATCTGAGCTAAATAAACATTTCCTCTTTACTTGCATAAGCAGGTATTACTGAACAATAATCCAAACTGTACCTGTATTCTTTTTTACTATTATCTTCTCTCCCTACTTTATACCCTCCCTACATCTAAAGATTATTCAAATCCACCAATACTACCCAAGATTATGGTCACCGCCAACACATTTCTTCCCTTATCCTCCTGGTCCACACTTAATATCCACTCTACAATATCTTAAGTTTCCCTGCCCTGTTGCTGTCTGTCCAGATTCCTTCTTAATTTCTCCCACAATTTCTCTTCCTAATCTTTGGTATTAGATGTTCGTGTGTAACATTCCTGCTATATAGATTTTTCCTACTGTTCTTCACTTGTTTTCAGCCACTTTTTTTTAGGATCTCAATCTAGGGCAGAGCTGGATATGCCCATATATAATTATTTTCATTTTTTAAGTTTATTTATTTTGGTACTGAAGATTGAACCCACAAACTTGCACTTGCCAGGCAATGCCTATACATACTGAACACCCAAAGACTGGGCACAACTGGGTGCTCTCCCTCAGAGGTCAAAGAGCTCTCTCTGACCTTGTGTTCCCTAAGTCCTCTCATCTATTTCATGGCTTCAGCTGTCAACTCTGTACTAAACAACGTTTCTTACTGATGACAGAACCACTTGGTTATTCCCCAGTCTCCTAAAGTCATGCCCAAAGCTTTGCTCATTACTTGCTCTTCAATTTCATTTCTTCATCCTGCATCTTTTGCCAATTACCAGCATTATTTCTAACACCAGACCAAACCTGTCTTTATCATGGTTGCCTTGCTCCTCTCTTACAAGATCTAATTAAATCTTAGGTTTTAAAACACTAAAAACAATCAAACATATCTATCATTTCATTTTTATCACCACAGCTTTGATTCAGGGTTTTATCATCTGTTACCTAGATTTTATCAGCTGATTTAGTTCTGGAACTTCAGACTCCTGAGCCAAACTGTTCTCTGCAGTATTGACACCATCACTTCTTTATTTAAAACCTTGCCACTTCATTTTTCAAAATTCCTTAAATAACTCTTAAAACTTTAGGAAAAAGATTACTCTTCATGTTCTCAATCTAGCCTCAGCCTCATCTCCTGCAGCTGTCTGGCTCCTATCCGATGTTCCCCCCTGTGGGTCCAATTAAGAACAATTGTCTATTTACTCTTCAGTTTACTTTTCCACCAAAATATATGGAGGGAATCTGTCTTTCATCTAAAACAAAGTTCCACAGACTCTACCTCCTAAATAACCCCACAGTGTGTCTACGCCACTATATTCCCACATTATTTAAAATCTTTCTTAACATTTCTTTGGGCTATTGCAATAATCACTGAACTAGTTTCCCTTTTCCTTGATTCTAACTCCTAGACAACATTGAAGAGTAAATGCAAAATTAGCAAATATGCAATGTGCTCACAAATCTTTCACTGCTTTCCTCAACAGTGAACAGAATCTTAATTTCTTAGCAATAGCAGATGATCTAATCCTTTACTCACTCACCAGCCTCATCTCTTGACACATTCCTACTGCAACCTCAGCTCTGTGCCAGTGACAACCAAGCAGACATATGACTCTCTAAGTGAGCTATTCCCTCGTACAACCAAGTCTGCAAATGCTGGTTTCTGCCTGCAAGACTCTCCCAACTTCACCTGGCTACCCAATTTGTTTATGGCTTTTCAGATCAGATACCATCACTGCATCAGTGTTACCATAGTAACCTGTATATACTTCCATCACACTTGTGTATGTATAGTAACGTGTGTACTGTACATACTTGCTTGCATCCATAGATTAAAGGCAATTTGAGCCTTGGAGGTGGCTATGCGATGTGTGTATTTTAATCTCTGTATCTTAACAGTTAAGGATAAGTATTTAAATCTGTATTTAAGGATAAGAATTTTGATCTGTAGAATTTTCTTTTTCCCAGATCTATAGCTCCTTAGGCATACTAAAAAGCTATTACTCTCCCTTTTCTCAAATTTCTCTTTTCTACTGGCACAACTGTAATATTCTGTAGAAACAGTTAATGAAATAGCACTCTAGCATGAACATTCAAAATCTTATTTATCCTTTTATTAATACCCTCGATACTTATTTACTTGGCAGTTACCACATGCGAGGCATTTTACAATTTTCTAGGAATACAAAAGAAAGAATACAAAGAAAATGTATTTGTCCTAAAATATACATTTATAGAATTTTCCTATACATATACATGTATAGAAAAATACATTTTAAAAACCAGGTTCAGTGCAAGGTGATATGGAGACAATGAGACATGGAACAACGAGGTTAACAGATGAACCCAAATCTGCAAGAGACACCGTGAATCCCTGCTTTGCAGATGAAGGGCAGCACAAACCAGAGACACACACAACAGAGCAAACCTAATCAAGCCAAGGTGTCTAGAACTGGTAGGGCTAATCGTTTTTCATTAATACTTAATTCCTGAAGCTTTACGAAGGCTACGTTTGGAGACAGCTTAGAAAGCGGCCCTCAGGGCTTCTGTGTAAAGTTCATAGCAGCCCTGCCGTGCTCTGTGTCTATGTCACAAACACCATGGCAACCACGGTCTCCCTCCTACTGAATTTCCTACGTTCTTATATGCTGTGAAGTCTTTTCAACCTTTGCTACTGTGGAGTTTTTCAACTGTCCCTTTTACCAGTTTCCTGACTCTTGTTTTTCTTCTTGTTGTTGATCCTTTGTTCCTTTCCACTACATGGATAGAATATAATACCAACAATTTGGAAATAGTATATTTTCCTTTTAAACATGTTTTTCTCTTGTAGCATATTCTGTTTATTTATCTACTGGTTATGCAAGAGTACTAATGTTCATCAAGAAAAATAAAGCCTACATAGAACACATTTTTTTAAAAAGTCAAAGTTAAGGCTATTCTATACCATAAATAATAATTATAGTTCTGACAAATTATAAATGTTTAAACAAAGAAAAATTTGAATAGATGCTTCCAACAATGTTAACATAATTTAGGGAAATAAATTATGATATCAATTGGAGAATGTCATATAAAAATTTTACTTTTGTTAATTCTTTAATATAGTAAAAACAGTATGTTCTAACATACTGTTAGAATTTGCAAATGTTATGTTATTTACATACACATTAGTGACTAGAAAACGTAAATACACTTCTTAGTATAATAGAAACATATAATTGCTTGACAGAAACTCTGAAAAAGAAAACTTTTATAAGTAATTTCCTCTGAAAAAATCTTATTAAAGTAAATATCTACAATATAGCTTTAGGTACAGTTATTTCTATGTTTCAGGAGAATGTTGATAACTATTGGTTAATGTACAAGTGGGGAATTCCTTATTATACTACCTTACAAGAAAATGAAAGGAAATAAAAATACTAGGAATTGCAGGAAAAGGAAAAGATTATGAGAAAACGATGCACAGGGAACATTCCTCTTTAAATTACTGACATGAGTTAACTAACAAACATAAGACAATTCTGTTTTGTTTTTAATTTAATAATGTATTATTTTATTAACCTGAAATACAGTCACATAACATGGGTGTGTATATATCCATATAAAATGTATCTCATCATAGCAACCACTCCTCCAATTCAAGCATCTTTGTAATTTTAAGTTTTATAATGCTTCAATGAAAGATGCTTAACAGTTCATTTTGCATCACCTGAATTGAATGTACACAATTACAAATATAGTTATATCTCAGTATCACTTGGATCAGAGTTAACTAACACAGTACAAGTGGTTATTTATCCCAAAACACAAAACAATGTCCTTACCTGAATATTGTCATAGAAGAGAACATCAGGCACCTTCATTTTCTCATGAGCATTATATATCGGTGCACTAACAGTGCCAATCCTCAGAGATCCAGATACTACTTCACCTGAACATGTCACACATGAAAAGGATTAATAGTAGTAATGTCCTATGAATAATATCCAAAGAAGCTAAATCTGCCCAACATAAAATGCAAGACAGCTTCAGTAACACCTCTGAGCTCTTCAAGGGTTTTAACTTAATATCTAAAGAAATAAGCAAAGTGATGGTAATACAATACCATAGCCATTCATATGGCCTAAAATATTGCAAAATATAATACATTTTATTTAAAGCAACATATACAGGATGTTCTGACAACTGAGAACAGTCAAACTACACTCACCTACTTGTTTGCTTAGAGATTGTATCATACACACAAGTCAAACACATAGTCAAAAGCTCTGAAATAGCTGAATTTAATAGGTTAGGACCCACCCATTGAAACTCCATAAGAGAATCCCATATAGTTCTACTCAAAAATAAAGATAACAAACTCATCCCAGACTTCTTAAACTATTATTTTCAAAGATTGTCCAGAGGAGCTATATTTTAAATACTTAACAAGAAATTGGGAAACTTTGTTGATCTGGAGGAGATTATGAGCTCTTTGAAAGAAGGAAATTAATTATACATTTCTAAAAGTCAGGGTACATGTCTTATTGTACTCTCTATGGGAGACAGACATGAACACTGACATTTTCCAAGAAAAATAACATTAATGATAGTATTCAATGTTACAGTACTAATGATCACAATAATAAAAGCTGTTATTTATTGAGGACAGTTTATATGCCAGAACCCAAACCAGGAGATTTATCACATATTTTCTTCACATAACTTCAAGTAACTCTTAACAATGACATAAGAATTACAAGGAAACTAAAACATAAATTAAGTAATATGAGTGGAACTTAAAATAGAACTTAGTCTAGTCTGACATGCATTCTGACAAGTCCAGTATGTTCAATCCTTTGACTCCAAATATTCCATCCTGTGGAAATACGCTAGCAAGCAGATACACAATTACAATGCCTTGAATAATTCACTTTCCCTCCCCCCACTATTTCAAATAAGAAAGTGGCAGTCTGTTTTTCCTCTAGAATGCTATTCTGTGCAAAGGCATTTTTGAAAGATGGGAGAAGAAAGCAACATTTGCTTTTATGGAGTGCTATGAAAAATTTTGAACTAAAAATAACTATCCTGTCACCTTGTTTAATCACTGCTGAGTGCTATACATTTGCCAGAGCACAACAAATCTTAACAGTTACCTCTCCCTTCAATAGATACTTATCATTTTCTAAGTTTTCACAAGCTCTGCAGAGAAGGAAAGCCATGAGCTGTCATGCTGAGAATTTACTACTTATTTACTATTATCAAGACTTTGGAGTAAACCCAATCTAAAAACTATAAAGGGAAAGGGCAGGAATGTGGTAACACATCAACATTTGTACCTGTATGTTGAAAAGATGCACCTAATTTCAGGTGTAAATAGTCCCACAACACTTATGATTTAGTTTATAAAACATATACATTCAGTAGAAATAAGTTATTTGAAAAACTTGATTCTCTCAATCAGTGTTTACTGATAAGCTTTCAAAGGGAAATACATTCAAACAATGGTGATGCTAGTACCTTCCTAGGAGAAAGCTGGCTAGCTGTCTTCTAAGAAATCTCACAGGATGGCACTATCTTGACAAATTTGTCAGCGTTCTCAAGGCTCAAAACCTGGCTTTTCTCATCACAACTGTAGGCAAATATAATTTCCATGAGAACATTAAAATGTTAATCTGAGGGAAAATCAGAATTGAAAACTATTATATCACAATAGAACCTGCAACTTTCATGTTGATCATGATAAGTCACCAAAATCAACATATTATTTAGAGGGAGCCCTATGTGGGAAGCCAAGGCCTCATCATAAGATTGTTTGATGAATACAGACTTTTAACAAGAAGAGTGAAATAAACACACTTTCAACTGGACAGACTGCTTTAGAGATGAATGGAACCAGTCAAGTAAAAAGTTTCATCACCTTATCATGTACATACAGCTAACGCGGTCCCCACTAACACTGGCCTCTTATCAAGACTAAACAATCTTTAGATTGAATGACACAGTCTGCCTCAGTTACTTTTCTCATTGCTAAGACAAAAATACCCAACACCCAAGGTTAAAGGAGGAAAGCATAATTTGGTTCCCAGTTTGTAGAAGTTCAGTTTATAGCTGGCTGACTCCAAGGCAGGTTGGCATGGCATCACGGAGGAAAAACAGTCCATGGCAAAGCAGGACAAGAAGAATCGAGCAGCAGGCAAGTGACAAAGGAAAAGGGACAAGACCCTCCTTCTGTCCCTGATGCCTTATGCAGGCTACCCACTCTGTAGGCAGGTATCACTTACACTCAGTGTGGAGAGCCTTAATCCTAGCATCCCATGTGAATCAATTCTAGCATCACATCCTTGATCCCAGAAGCACACATCCTACATCCAGCCTCCTCTGTAAAAGTCCCATCTATCACTGTATGATACTCTGGGTGGGGGATTTAAGTCATAACATTCTACTCATGGCTGCTAAAGACTCATATACCTCTCTTTATGCAAAAGGCATTTATTCTATCTCTTAGAGTTGTTAAAATCCTAACAGTTTCAGCATTGCAGAAAAGTCCAAGACCAAAGTCTCCTCTGAGATTTAAGGCAAAATCTTAGCTGCAGGCTTCTATAGAAATTAAAAGGAATTTAAACATGTCCAACATTCAATTGCACAAGATAGACATTACCATTCTGAAATGTACAAAGGAATGGGACCAAGGCAAGTCCAAAATCTAGCAGGGCAAACATTAAGTCCTGTGGTTCTATGTCCAGCATCCAAGGTAAGCTATGGCAAGATGTGAACTCTAATGGGCTTAGGTGGCTCTGCTCTCTGGCATGGCTGGTGATTGCAGCTTCCAAAGTTTCTCTCTTGAGTTGACTTTGCTCCCTGCTTGCCGCTTTTCTCAAATGAGTCACATCCCTTCTCCAGACTTCTGGGGTCACCACATCTTCAACTTCACATTCACAGTTTCACACACTGCCATCTCAGGTCATACTGTCCGGTCTCCAGACTCTCTTTTGAAATCTGGGTGGAAGCTTTCCTGAGCCTACAACTCTTGTATTCTGCATGTACCTAAAACCAGCACCGGGTGGATGGTGACGAAGTCTTTTGCCAGCTGATATAGAAGCCAGATTTCCTTCTCTCCTGGCTGAGAGGTCCAGTTGCCTATGAACCAAATCCTAAGGAAAAATTTCCCTAGTCTGCCTCTCTTCTGGTACATGGTGCTCTGGGGATTCTCTCATTAAAGTCTTTCACTTTTGCATTTTGTGGGGTGATGCTGGTTCTTGTGATGTCCTTAGACCTATGTCCTCTTCTGAAATATTTGACTGGGGTTTTTCTGGTTTTTGTTTTTTGTTTGTTTTTGCTAGGCTTTTCAGCTAACAATTTCTTCTCTATTTCATCTTTACAGGCTGCAACTTTACTAGAGTTTCTTTTCTGGCCAAACTCAAAACATTTTAAATCATTTTGCTGGGCTTTTTGCTTTTGATTCCTAACATAAATCTGGCTAATCTTCCCTCAAGCACACATACCAGTCATTATACACCCCAAAACATTAGTCTGCCTTGAAATTTCTTTTGCAAGATTAGCCTTCTGATCTTAGTCTCAGGCCAAGACTCCAGACAGGAACAAAATGCTGCCAGACTTTCTACCGGGGGATAACACACAGGTTCTGGAGTCCAATAGCCAATGAAGTCCTTCTTCCCAGTAGAAAACACTTAATCCTGGTCTTTACTGTCAGCATTTCTATTAGCCCCTGGTCTTCTGGGTTCTGATAAGAATGTCCCATGAAGTGCAGCATGACGCATTTCAGGGCTGCTTCTTCAGCCGGCATCTCTAAACATTTCCAAATTCTCCCCACAAGCCAGTTCCAAAGGCTCTTAAACTACATGGCTAGGTAATGTTACAGCAAAAAAGTCTCTTCTGCTACTGAATTCTTAGTCACATTTCCTCTTGCTGAGACAAAATACCCAACACCCTAAAAAGTAGGAAATGTTTACTTGGCTCAAGTTTGTAGAGGTTTCAGTTCATCATTGGCAGTTCTAAGGCAGGGTGACATAGCAGAGGGGTGTCAGCAAGGAGAAACAGTCCAGACCAAAGAAGGGCAGGCAGAAGACAGCAAGCAGGAAGCAAGAGACAAAGTACAAGGGACAAACAGAAACCCTCCTTCTGTTCCTTATATCTCTTCCAGACTACCCAACCTTTGAGCAGGTACCATTCACAACCAGGGTGGAGAAGCCTTAAATCTAGCATCCTATCATCAATCAATTTCAGCATTACGGGGCTGAAGGTTTATCTTAGAGGCATCAGCACCTGCCTGGCAAATGCCAGGTGATGAGTTCAATCCCCGGTACGAAAAAAAATCAGCATCACATCCTTGATTCCAGCAACATACACCCTAGACCCAGCCACCTCCAAAAAGTACCCGCTATGACTATCTGAGACTTTGAGAGTACACTGAGATATCAGCCATATAGTCTTTCTTTAGATATATTAAAAGATTCAATCAAGTAACATCATCAGTTTACAAGTCCCAGAGTTATTGTCTTTTTTATCAGCATATCAAATTTATAATTTTATTCTAAAAATGCTTTCTAATTTCATTAATATCAATTTTTGGTTCAACATAGTCCCAATTATTAAAAATATCTAGAAAGAGACCTACAATAGTTCCTTTTAGACAGTTTTCATACATTAACTGCTTTGATAAAATAAGTAGTTACTTCAAAAATGAATGTACCTGAAGACGCTAATATTAAGTGAAAGAAATGAGACACTTAGACTTAAATATCATATAAATTTTCTTCTTCAAGAAACCCAGAGATTAAATAATTTTAAGAACAACAGAAAAAGATAGACAATAGGAAACAGAGAAACAGACAGTGAAAGAGAGGGAGGGACGGGGAAGGGAGGAGAGAGAGAGAGAGAGAGAGAGAGAGAGAGAGAGAGAAAGAGAGAGAGAGAGAAATCTTCTACAAATAAGGAGCCAGAGATGGAGGGAGCAAGAAAACAGAAAGGGAAAGAGGAATAAAAAGAATTAAGATATGTTATGTACCTGTATCTGTTCTCCACAAAAATGTAATCATCATATACTACAAATGTACTAATATACAAAATGGAGACTCTCATTTTCTTCTAATTGAAGAACAGAAACTATCAAAAAAAAAGAGCTAGGTCTCCCCAAAAATCAAAATTATACTTGTGATTAGCCAGAAAAAAATTTAACATGAATGATAACACAAGTGGAAATGGAAGGAATCATACAATTCTGATTATTATTTTAGTCTGTATCAAACTAGAAAAGTTTCCCAAATATGTTCCAGAGGACAGTGGTGGCCCTCAAAATATAAATGTGCAAAAACAAAATTCTAGATTTTATAGTGAGACATATTTGGAAAAATATATATGTGCCAAAAGTAGGTAAGTGGGTTGGAGTTTTAGCTCAGCAGTTCAAGTGTTTGCTTAATAGGCACAAGGTCATGATTTTGATCCCTGGTACCAAAAAAAAAAGAACAAAAAAAGAAAACTAGGTAAGTTGATTTATCATAATTCAATTAATACAGTGTCTATTGTAACTTTTGAGGTAGAGAGAACTATATGTAGTGTGTACTTAAGTAAATATTCTAAGGTTTAACTAGTAAACCGTAGCTGGAGCCCTCTGGCTTTTTAACATGAATAGCAACCTCATTTCTTCAAAACTTTATGATTAGAAAACAAAAAAACATTTTTATTGAAATTATAATATCATCCAGTGTTTGGTAATTATTATTTAACTTTACAAAGAACCAACTTACATTTGAAATTCTCCAGTTCTGGTTCCAGATTATCATCAGTACCTGCTTCTATTGCAGCATCTGCCAAATTTTTTTCTAATGCTGACTTAGCAAGGCTTGGCAAGAACCTGGCAGGAGGAGAGGGTGGGGAGAAATGGATGAAATGATAAAACTTTCTGATTTTTAAATATTATTTCTCTCTCTCTCACACACACATGCACACACACATATCTCTTTACTAATTACAAGGAATTATGGAAGACCAGTCTGGATCTGCAAAATCAAAGCATACAAACGTTTACAATAAATATTAACTTGGGAGTATACAGAAATTACATCTATGGAATCTCCTTTGATAACTAATTAAAGCTCATTTATAATTACCATTAATCATTTATATGTAACATTTTATAATAAATAAGACAATTTGCTTTCATAAATGGATTTAGTATACTTCATATATCTTGTCTATTGTGTAACTGGCTTATCAAATCTTCTTAGATAAAACAGCAATAGTCTAGTCTGCTTTAAGTCAGCAATCACAAATTTAAATCAGTGGAGGTGGATTAATGAGATTTTCTTTATTTGCTAACATAAATGATTGAATGAAAAATTATCCAGCTTCCTTCTCTCTGCCATTAAAAAAATACATCTCCATAGCTATTCTATAAATATGTTGTCAAAACAATTGGTGAGTGACAAAGGCATTCTTCAACCACAGAAACAGACTGTGAGTATCCTGTACTTTGAATATGAAACAGCTCTCCACTTATATGGATAAACTTATAATCTAGAATTTATAATCCCAGGTAAACCCAGAGAAATGATCTTTAATCCATAGTGATCTGCACTGTATATTATAAACTAGCCACCATGTTCTGATGTATGTTCCAAATAGCATACTAAGAACAAACCATTTCTACTGTAGCTTTTACATAGCTCTAAATCTTTCGTGATGGCTCGAGTGTAAACTAGTAAGGGAGAGCTGGAATGAAGCAGAGGGAAATAGATGAGCTTGTAACGCACCATCACATAATATTCCAAAATATGTATCAGACATTAGCCTTTATTTGCCTCTGTTTAGTCCTCCACTTTGATATGAGAATTGTTGACTTTTCATCACAACTTTTAGATCATTGCACTGAGGTTCATACGCATCTCTCAGACTCAACAGCTGGTTTTTTTGTCCTGTTTCTTGAGCCCTTGTGGCATGCTACCTAGTCTTCCTCTCACCCCATTAGTAATATTAGGACCTGCACCTGGATCTCTATTACTTCCCATCAGATCACCTTCACTAGCATGGATTAGTAACAAGCTTAGACTTGTTTGCTATTTGAAGGTATCCCTGACATCTACAGGAATCTGTCAACTCATTCCCACAAAGGCCCTGTATTAGAACATTTCTAGATTGCCCTGTAAAGCCTGTGGAGGACAGCAAATATGGGAGAAGGATGTGAATAGCCAGAGCGGAAGAAAAAGACCAAAGGGCTCGGTAAACCAGTCTTACTTAGAATGTACAGCAGATGAATTTAGACTTGTGGGTTTAACTCTTAAATTTACAAACAGCATCAGAATATTTAAGATGATTTATGGTGTGTCCTACTTGTAAAAGTAGTTTATTATATTTGTGGGTCAAATGGAATATAGGAAATATATTAATAAAGTTTCAAATGTTTGAAGGTATTTAATTTAGTCAAGTTTTATAAAAGGAGCCTAATATTTTTCAAAGGCCTTGAAATGTGATTGTTAAGATCTATTAGACTTACAGAGTTAGCTGGATGAACACAAAAGGCTAAAGGTCTGCATTTTTAAAATGATACCCGAAAATAAATATCTGAATACCCAGTCTCTCCCATAAGCAAAATCATTCTTTGAGACAATAAAAAAATACTCACAAACATTAATTATCCAACAGTATATATGATTACTTCTATCTGACTTTTGACTTTTAGTTACCAATTTAGCAGAATATTCATTTTCTATCAAAAGGATATTTTTAATAGAATAGTTGCCCCATTTCACTATCAAAGATACTTAATTGTTATTTCTTATTAAATCTTATGGGTCTATCTTAAAATTTCTCTGCTAAAGGATCATCATCCTAAAACTTTTCAAAATTAAATAATTTGATGGAATGCAATGTAATTGAATACAGTAGAACTCTTATTACAGAGACCGCTAGTCAATTCTCCTATAATATATGTATTTTGGAATGCAAGATACTTGAAAAGTTACCAAAATTCTGAATTTTCTTCTCTGTGGTCCCTTAGGTTTTCAAATACTTAAAAAAATGAATTATGAACCAAGCTCCAAGAGTTGATGGCCATGAGGATAAGGTGCTTAGAAAGTCAATACTTAAGACAAAGAAATATTTCAATTTGAATTCAACTAGCAAAAACAAATGAATATTTACAAGATTAAAATAACAAGAAAAGGAACATAATATTTAATAAATATAAAATGTATTAAATTCAGGCCACTTTGCTTTTGTCTACTTAATAGAATACTCTGAATATAAATTATGTTAACTTTCATTTTCAATTTTCAACAAAATTTAATTCCTTGTGACTACTACAATATGAAATGAGATCATTTAAAAAAAACAATACTTTATGTACCAATAATGTTTGGTTCCTTCCTGCCATTGTGTTATGTTGAGGAAAAGGTTAATATTTTTTTAATAAAAGGCCTTTGACTGTTGCTTTGCTAAAGTCAACAGATGATGCATAAACAAGATAGCTTAGTATTCATTTCTATTTCCAAAGGGTCATAAGGCAATAAGCAAACAGTTTTATCATGGTTAGTTACTAGCACTGGAAAATTCAGCTACTTGATGCAGTGAAATACCTATGAAAACAAAAAGTAAGCACTTTTAATCAGTGAACTATTTCAATGTTTCAGAAAATTATAGAGAATGTTTTATAAAACACTTATAAGTAAAAGTTTTAAAAGTATAAAATTATAGCTGATTTTTGTTTTAAATCTTATTGCCATGATCAATAATGAAGTTGATCATCCTTTCAAATATTTATTGAATTACTGAATTATCCTTCTTTACATGAGTGATCATTTTTCCTTATTAATTTGTAGTCTCTAAATATCAAAACTTTTTTTTTAACCAGGGGTCGAACTCAGGACCTTGCACTTGCCAGGCAGGCATTTATGCCACTGAGCTATGGCCTCAAAACTTTTTAATGATAAATTCTGTTAAACATCTTTTACTAACTTACAGCTTATACCTTATACAGTGGCTTACACCTTGTAGTGATTTATATGCCTTTTTTTTCTTTTTTGGTATCAGGAATCAAACTCAGAACCTTGTGCTTGCCAGCCTTTGTGTTATATTCTGGATTTTACTTTTATGTATGAGAATAGCCAAGCTTATATCAGGAAGCCAGCGTGACGAACTCCTGGAGATTAAACAGTACACACTGAAGCAACGCTCAAAGTAAGGACCAGAGCTCCCCCAAAGTGAAATGCAGCCACCCGGAAACAAGATCCAGAGCTCAGCCAATGAGAGCCGCCGAGTTCATATCAGGGGAGCCAGCATGAGAAGCTCCTCCAGGAGAACCAGTGGCTCCAAACAACAACACTTAGGAGACCCACACCACTACTCTTCCACTCCAGGTCTCCTTTTTATGCTGGTAACAGTCCTCAGATGGGCCATCCATGCTCAGCTCCACGCTGATTCGTTTTAGCTGCTGTTTAAGTTGACCACCAGTTACCAATCCACTACAGTGTTATCATCTGTTTATGTCTTATACTCTGTATCTTTTTGAAGATAACAATATATAGTATACCATTGTTTTTCACTTATTATTTTGTTAGAAAATTGTGTTTTATTTTTTCATAAAATAAAAAAAATTTCAAAAACCATCTGTACTGAACATACAGACTTTTTCTTTGTTTTCCCTAAATACTACAATATAATAGGTATTTATATTATATTCAATATTATTACTAAGCTAGAGGTAACTGAAATGTGGGAGAATATAGGTATATTAGGTGCAAATACTGTGCTATTTTCTATAGGGCACTTGAGCATCAATGGATTTTGGTATCTGTGGGGATCCTGGAGCCAATCCCTTATGGATATCAAGGAGCAGCAACGTACGATTTCTTTCCCCCCATAAATTGGAGATGGAGAGAGATGGAGAAAGGTAGCAAAAGCTAAAATAAAAGTTATATAATAAGTGCTTCTTTCTTCCCTACCTCTCACTTCACTCAGAAAAATAAAATATTTAATTACAGAAATACCAATATTTGCTACAAATTTCTGACAGATACTCCTTATCAGATTAAGGAATTTACCTTTTATCATTATCTGTTCCTTGAAACCATTTCTTCTCGAAATTTTTAGGTTTTTCCTTATTGGCATTCAGTATCATCACAATGTGATTCCTGCCTGGGAACTGATGCACTTGCTTCAAGCTAGAGGCTCTTGTCTTTCAGTGTGGGACCACTCCTACCTCACAATTCTACTAGAGGGCTGTAGCTGCCGCTCAGTGATACAGCACACGCCTCGTACGCAGGAGGCCCTAGAATGCTTGAGGCTACACAGACTGGCAGATTGGATCAAAAAGAAAGATCCAATGATATGACGCATACAAAACTCCTTGTCTGACGCCCATTTTTACCCCAGAATAGACAAATTCTCCTTCCTCTGGCACATTGTGCTTTCTTCAGGGCTCTTATCCAGGCTGCAGTTCAACATCATTGTTGTGTTTGGTCCTTCCACTGACTGTGGTATCTGCTTTAGTCACCATTAACTGTATCGCCAAGAACTCTCAATGATGCTTGGCTTACACACAGAATCCAAAGATTTATGTGAATGCAGAGGAAAAGCAGAGCAGTAGAAAAACCTAGACAAGAGTTAAAGGTTATAATGTAGAATCTGTAAACAGTTTATGAGAACTGATCTTATGACACATGATGAAGTGGACAAATACTTTGAAGAAAAAGAGACACTAAAATACCCAGTGCTGATCTGGAGTGTCATAATGTGAAACCCAGCAAAGGTATTATTCTTTGTTCAGAGTGATATTAGCCTACTTGTGTTTATTCAGTGTCAACATAATTGAGGATATGGGTAGCTGTATGTATGTTTAAGCGTATAGGATTGATAACC